ATACGTAGCTATGTATGTGCATATGTAAACGGATATACATGTACATATGTATACAGAACATAAATGTACATGCGTAGATATATAGATAGATATACATGTACATATGTATACAGAACAGAAATATACATGTGTAGATATATACATGTAAGTATACATGTACGTACGTAACTTAAATGTACATATGTTGGTATATAGATAAATGTACATGTATACATGTATAGGTATATATGTAGATATACATGTACTTATGTGTACACAACATAAGTATACATGTGTAGATATGTTGATAGACATACATGTACATAGGTATATGGAACATAAATATACATGTTTGCATATGTGTAGATATATGTATGTAGATATCTACATGTACATTATGTATACAGAACATAAATATATATGTGTAGGCCTACATGTCAATATACATGTACACATGTATATAGATATGCATATACATGTGTATTTCGATGTGAACATAAGTATACACATGTAGGTAGATACACTTTCACATTTGTATATCGAACATAAATATACATGTTTGCATGTGTAGATATATATGTCAATATACATGTACATATGTATATAGATATGCATGTCGATATATAGATAGATACACTTCTACATATGGGAACACGAATACATTCATGTTTCAGGCGTGCTCGGTCCCAAGTGCGTCTGCCGCGGTTTCGAGGGCCTGCTCTGTGAGTCGGACATCAACGAATGCCACGACGCGCCCTGTCTCAACGGTGGCACGTGTACAAACACACACGGCTTCTTCAGGTATGTTCCATGCTCCGAAATACGCCGTGTAATTAATTAATATTAATTATTATGTCAATTATTAATTAAGTTTTGAATTATTTTTGAATATTTCTCACTGTTATGATCGAAAATTAATGCATCGATGCAACCTTTTAAGAAACTCGTAGGAAATTGTTGAAGAGTACTACAGGTGGGCTCTATGCTCCGAAATACATCGTATTAATTAATTCACATCAATAATAATAATAATTAATAAATAATTAGCATCAAAATACGTCACTATTAGGATCGAAACCCATCGACAAACCCCATTAGCAACTCTCTCGTAGAAGGAAAAGCGGGTGAACATTTCCTCGTCATACACAGCGTGAGGTATGAACATGGTCGTGAGGTAGGAACATGTCCGCGCACACTGACCCGGCCGTGTCTGTTGTTGTTACGTCCCCGCAGGTGTGAGTGTCCGCAGCACACGAGCGGGGAGACATGCGGGGAGATCGTACACGTGCCCAACATCACTGCTGCCCGCAGCAACATCTGGACAGCCATAGGTATGCCGCGCGCACGCGAGAGAGAGATTCTCATCCACGAACATATACGTACAATTTACGTATTGTTATGTGCGTGAATGTGCGTGCGTGCGTGCGTTTATGTATATGTGTATAATATGTATATATATGTTTATATGTACATATATACATATACATATACATATACGTGTATGTATATATATATATATATATATATATATTATATCGATTAGGCAGCTTTAAGGGTAACAATATGTAGCATACCACATAGCTAGACCACCGATGGGGCAGTGGCATATAGGGGGCGCTGCACCACCTGTGGGACGGTTGTACGTAGGGGGCGCTGCAACAACGGCGAGGCAGTTGTGTGTAGGGGGCGCTGCACCACCGGCGGAGCGATTGTCTGTAGGGGGCGCTGACGTGCTGCGCGTCGTCGCTGCAGGTGTTGGCGGCCTCGTCCTCATCACGATCCTCCTCGCCGTCATGTTCATCGTCTGCCGCAAGTGTCGCCGTCGACGACGCGCCAAGCATTGCCATAGCAACGTGATCACGACGTCCGTGCATCGCGACGGGGCCAACGAGCTCATCCTCAACAGCCACAGGTAGGGGGCGCCACTGCTGCGCTGCACACGCTGCTTTGCATTTACACATATGGATATATATATATATATATATACACATATGAAAGAAGATGCATTTGTTTTGAGACATGAAAACCTGATGAGAGAGAGCATTAAATTCACACTGCTCACACCCTCTCTTGTCTATCGACGTTGAGTATCACGTTCACACAACTCGCATGCTCTTTTGTTTTTCTGTCAGCATTGAGCATTTTTCGGTCTAACGCTCTCTTGTCCTTCACCATCGAGTATATTCCGACTCGCACGTTCTTTTGTTTCACCGTCAGCGTCGAGCGTGTTTCAGTCTCTCGCATTTCAACTCCAATTATTCCGACTCGCATGCTCTCTTGTCTCTCCGGCAGCGTCGAGTACAAGCGCATCAACAAGCTGCAGAACAGCGACGCGGCGGCGGCGCAGCAGCAGCACGCGCTGCTGCTGCCCCCTAGTGTGCCGCCGCGTCCGACCTCGTACACGCCGAGCACGCACGACTCCGTGCGCACCCTCAACAACTTCGACAGCCTACGCAACTACGGCTCGGCGGCCGACGAGTTGGACGGGACGCACAAGTACCCGGGAGGAGGAGGAGGAGGCGGGGGAGGCGGAGGAGGAGGAGGAGGAGGAGGAGGAGGAGGGGAAATCCAAACAAGACAAGACATATCGCATCGCCCTTCTGGTGAGGTGAGGGAGGTGACGGCTGGGACGACCTGCCTGGGTGAGGAGAGAAGCGAGAGGAGGAGGAAGGGGGGGGAGGAGGGAGGAGTAGGAGGAGGAGAAAGGGAGGAGTGATAGGCGCGGTGGGAGCAATGGGAGAGGAGGAGAAGGAGGGGAGGAGAGGAGGAGGACAGGCGGGTCGGAGAATGGGAGGGGGAGGGAGGGGAGAAGGGAGGGGGGGGCTGTTAGGAGGACGGAGTGAGGGAGGAGGGGTGTAGGGGAGAAGAAGGAGCGAGGAGGAGGAGGAGGGCGGGAAGGAGGAGGAGGCAGGAGGAGAATGAGGCGGGAGGGGTGGAGAAGGAGGGGGTGAGAGAGGAGGAAGATATGCAAGAGAGAGGAGAGAGCAGCGAGTCGAAGAAAGACGAGGATGAGGGTGGAGAGCGCAGAGAGAGAGAGAGAGAGAGAGAGAGAGCTGATGAGAGAGAGAGAGAGAGAGAGTAGAGAGACTGAGAGAGGACGAGAGAGAGAGAGAGAGAGAGAGAGAGAGAGAGATGAGACAAGACAGAGAGATGAGAGGAGACGAGAGAGAGAGAGAGAGAGAGAGAAGAGAGAGAGAGGAGAGAGGAGAAGAGAGAGAGAGAGACGAGGGAGAGAGATTGAGAACGAGGAGAGAGAGAGAGAGAGTTTAGAGAGGAGAGAATGAGAGGAGAGAGAGATGAGAGAGAGGAGAGAGAGAGAATGAGAGAGAGAGGAGAAAATGAGGAGAGACGGGAGAGAGAGCTGAGGGGAGAGCGAGAGAGAGAGAGCAAAGAAGAGAGCAGAAAGAGAGAAGGGAGAGAGAGAGAGAGAGAGGAGAGAGAGAGAGAATGAGTGCGAGACTGAGAGGAGGAGAGAGGAGAAGGAGAGAGAGAGCAATGAGAGCGAGTAGAAGAGAGAGATGAGAGAATGAGAGAGAGAGAGAGAGAGCGAGAAAGAGAGAGAGAGAGAGAGAGAGAGAGCGAGAGAGAGAGAGAGAGAGAGAGAGAGCGAGTGAGAGAGAGAGAGAGAGAGAGAGAGACCATGCGAGAGGAAGGAGAGTGGAAGAGACATGTGCCACACACTCACTCTCACTGACAACCCCCCCCCCCACCGCAGGTCTACCATAGGGACAACGATGGCAACGCACACAATCCCAAGTGGGACTACCCCAACATTCCCGTAGAGCCGAGGTACTGGGACGCGGGCAAGCCACACAACGGTGAGACTCACGAATAGAGCTGGCATTACTTAAACGATTTGAACGATTAAAACGTTTTGATGTTGATGATAAAATGAATTATTAAATAAACGATTAAAATTGATGATAAAATTGGTAAAACAGATCATTAATTTTGGTTTCCTTCGAGTGTCAAATCTATTCGCCTATCTGCCTGCTTTGATTGACAGGGAGCTCTCAATGTATTTAGTGTTCTAAAACCGCTGTTTGTTGATGAATTACCCCATAGTCGGCAATGTGGCGTAAATAAGTGAAAAACACCTATCAACTACAATCCAGCTCTACCGACTTTGAAACAATATCTAAGGTTGTGTAGTTATCTCTGCATATAGGGCAGTTGGCTAGTAATTAACAGACCTGCGCACCAAAGAATCGCTTAGCAACGTTTTTCGGTTGGTTCAATGACGAACTTTGCCTTGCCGCGCGCTTTCAGCCGAGGTGAAGCAGCCGGAACCGCACGTCGACACGCCACCTGTTGGCAAGACAAGAGCGCATCCGACCAGTGCAGCGTCGAATCTGTCGTCTCTAAGCAGCTTGCCGGCTGTGTCAGAGGAGGACTTACCGGGTTAGTATTACACCATTGAGGAAATAAAGAAATAATATATCAATAAATAAGTATATATATTATACGTATATATATGGTAGAAGTGGGTAGATTTAGCTCATAGGAAAGTGATGCAGTCATACCAGTGTTAGTGGGTCTACGCCTCCAAGTCACTCAATTTTAAAGGTTACAAAGGACATTTTTGATGCATTCGAAAAATGGCAGTTACACAAGTCCAAAAGTGAAACTATTACTATAGAATGGTCCTCTATCTCTCAACGACACTTTTGGTGTTTTCCTCGGTTGTGGCCACCACTATAGAATTGTCACCGTTGTATGATGTTCACTATTCATGCTTCCTTTGACTAACCTTTCCACGCGAGTTTAGCCATAAATCCTTTGTTGTTATTAACGTGGTGATGGATGGCCACTACTCTTGGATAGATTGGGGTTAAGGTGGCGCGTGAGCAAATGTGCAAGCTTGATCGCAGTTGCTTTTATTGTCACGGTGCAAATGTGCTTGGGAGCCATGTTGAGACCTGGATCCGTGACCTCCTACTCCACTGACGCTGAGAGAGTCTGTGTCCCCTAGGGTACTATCGGAGGGTACCCTGGGTAGGTTCGATATATCAGAACGTACCCTGGTACTATCTAATATGCCGGACCGTACCTCGCCTACTCCACTAACGAGTCTAGGGAGTCGCCTACGCCTACTCCCTAACCCTAACCCTAACCCTAACCATATCAGATAGTTACCAGGGTACGTTCCGATATATCGAACCGTACCCAGGGTACCCTGCGATAGTACCCTGGGGGACATAGACCCTATCAGCTCCACTGACCGCGTGCGAAGGTCAGACTGAAGGTCGGCACATTGTAGGCGGTGGTGTCGGTGTCGCGATTTGTCAGTGGCGTGAGGAGTGGATGGATTAAGGTCATTAGTGAGGTCGTTAAATAACTAACCATTCCTGTGATGGGACGCTAGTTTACTTTTATTATCGGGAGTAAGATAATGACGAGGGAGGATAATAGTTACTATCAGATAAGTATTATCTTCCCATAATAACAAAAAATTAAATTTAATAAAAAAAATTTTTTAATTATAAATTTAAAAAAATAAAATAAAATTCTAAATCTCATTATCTTACTCCGACTATCGTGGTGTTGGCGTGTTGTTTACCCTGCGCTGTGCTCTCGTTTCTCTCCCACCTGCTGCACACAGCCGTAAGGCTTCGTGGACCAGGTGGAGTGCCCTGCTGGAGGAACAATTTACAGTTGCCCCCGAATGTGGTTGGCAAAGAAGGTATAGTGTCGTGCCTCCGTGGATGTGAGTGTGCATATACCGCGTGTGCATTACTGTGCCTGCGACTTCGTGTGTGTGTGTGTTAGACGCGTGTAGATGCGCAAAACCCTTGTTGGAAGCATGTGCTACCAATCTGTGCTACGACTGGATGCAGCCCCCTGTAATGAGCATGGCCGCCATTGTCATGCAAACAAGTGAACAAACAGTGCATGCCCTTATCCGATGTTGGCAGTGACTATAAAAACTGCAAATCTTTTTTTTCTAGTGGGAAAAAACTGAAAGCTTGCTTGCATTAGTATGTAGCTTCACCTGAGTGCATATTTATTACTATATATATTTATTGCTTCGCATATTTATGTAATGCACTATATAGGCACGCATAAATTTCAGTTTTCTGTTCATGAATCACTATAGCATGAATTAAGTCTTGCTGAAACTCCACTAAGTTCCTGTGTATATACCAGGGGGCATCTGTAGAAAATGGAATCACAAGTAGTCTATTGATTCACATCAAACATAACGGCGAAATATATAGGCCCTATAGGTATAAGACTATATATAGGAATTTAATCAAAAGAAGTGTACCATATATAACAGAATCATATAACTGTGTTATCTTGCCTTATATCTCGTTAAAAAAATTCGAGATTGCAATAAGGTGGGATAAGCACTTTAATATTGTGACAATGTGTAGCATTCCTGAGCTTCACCCGTCATCACGTTTCCCGCTCAACTAATCACACCAACTTGTTGATCCTTAATCATAAAATTTATACGTAAAATTTATGTGATCGATCATCGTGTTAACTCGACGTAAATCGGGAGCTAGAGTGTCAATTGTTGTCGATCACGTGTCGCAGTGTCGTCGGGTAGGTGGCGCTGCCGTCGTCGTTACCGTTCGTTCGCTCTCTGTTGTGGTTGTTTTCTGTTTGCAAAGTGAATGTTTTATTACAGCTTGTATTTCTGCGCTTTCTGCCCAGCTGTTTTTATCCGGCAGTGTGTTAGTTGTGGAGATTACAGCCAACGTATCTTGTTGTGTGGCACATTCGTTTAGCATGTATATTTTTCATTTACGTGGACTGCATGCGCTTGCATAGCTCAATAACAACCTTGTAAACAACTGAACAGCATTCTTGTCATTCAAATGCAGCTATAATGGTCTGTATACGCGTAGTTTTATTTCATGATAAATTCACTTGATTTTGGAAACATTTGTTGGAAACAAGTTTCTTGTCACCTACACTTGTCGAAACTGCCTCTAACAGGTTAATTATAAATCCTGGGATTTATCATAAAGCAAAATTACTCTTATATTACTATGGCATTCGGTAAACTTATTCCAAGATTTAGAACGATCCGAATGGCTTTCAACAGTAACCAATCAGAAAAGTTTGTGACACTTAGCGAACATTAGACAATCTTTCTGTACATTTTTCCTGGAACTGGAAAGTAATGGGGGTCGAAAGGGAATGACGGATACCAAGCTTATGAGAAGAGTGTCTTTATTTTTCAGTAACGCTAATTAATAAATAACGATAAATCCACATCATCAACCCCTCGTCGAAAATTAATATCAATCAATATAACCTCAGTCAAATCATAAAATAGTGATCGTAGTTTGAGCGACAGTTTCAGCAACGAGTTCAGTTGTCGTTGTCGGGGCGCGAACGAATCGAACGACCTCAGTTCACACGGCGCGTGCGTGCCACATTGTCTTCTGCGCAGGCTACCACTGGGATTGTTCCGACTGGGCGCCTAGCAACAACCTTCCAAACATCCGCGAGATCTCGATGCAGGAGCTTCCGGACTCGCGCTCCGCGAGCGTGCACAGCAGCGAGTCGAACACGCACGCAGGGGGCGCCACCGACGAGAAGGACGCCACCGAGACGACGCCCTTCCTGAGCAAGGTGGGTCTAGCCGCCACGCCCTCACCCTTCCTCGTTAACATCTCTTATGCAGCGCGAGTCTCTCCGTGCTACCTTCTCGGGGATGGCTATAGCGGGGGGTCTATGGGATATCGAAGAGAAAGGAGGGGTGGGAACGAGAAGGAGAGGGAGAAGGGGAAGTCCCTTGTTAATGTCTTTCTCACAGCGCGAGTTTCTCCCTGCTACCTGCCCCGGGATGACTATCTGTTCCTTAGCGAAGGGAGAATGAGGAGGAAGAGGAAGGGTAGGAACGAGAAGGAGAAGTAGGAAGAGAAGTAGGAGGAGGTGGGCAGGAGAAGAAGTAGCAGTAGCAGTAGAAGGAGGAGGTTGAGGGGCAGAAGTAGGAGGGTTAGTTGGAGGAAGGGAGAGCTAAAGAAAGAGCAAGATAGAAAAAGCGGGAGAAAGGGGGGAGATGAGACAAAAGACATAAGGTAGAAGCTGCATGCCAAAACAACTTAAAGTGACATTAAATAAACACCAACTTCTCTAGCAAGCAAGCAAGCAATAAATACTCCCACCCTAACCCTCACCATCTCGCATCCGACCCGTAACGAAACCATTTTCCTCTCCCGTTGCCAGGACAACGACGAGTTCGACTATCCGGAGACGGGCGAGGTCGAATCGGAATACGTCGGCGACTCCGAATTCGCCGACAACGAGTTTGACCTCGATGACGACCTTGACCTGCCGCTCGACTTCTCGCACCGTCCGAACATCAACGCGATGATCGACTCGCTCAACTTCGCCGACGACGACGACGACGACCCCCAGGGGGCGCCGCCGTCTCCTCAACCGCCGCCGGAGCACAACTACGAGATGCACCCGAACGAGTACCTCCCGGCGTGGCCGTCGGAGCCGGCCGACCTCGCCGCGGCGCCCCCTGGCGACGACCCCGCGGGGGAGGCGGCGAGGAGAAACAATCGTCTGAGCGAGTACACGAACGAGAGCGAGTGCGGCGAGGGGGCGGCGTCCGTGTCGGCCGTGTCGGCGCTGGACGACGTCTCGCTGTCGATGGGCGGACTCACGTCGACGAACGCGTCCTGCTCGGACATCTCGGGGCTGTGCGAGATCGACGACGACGACGACGACTTTGAGGATGAGGACGAGGACGAGGATGCTGACGAGGCGGACGCCCAGCTGCGAGCGCTCGCCGAGAGAATCAAGGGCGGTGGCGGCGGCGGAGGCATCGTCGTGCAGCAGACGCAGGTGTGACCTCGCCGCTACCTTGCCGTGACCCTGCCGCGACCACGCTGCGACCCCGCGGTGACTTCGCCGCGACCCTGTTGTGACCCCGTCATGACCTCACTGCGACCCTGTTGCGACCTCGCCGTGACCCCACGGTGACCTTGCGCTGCTGTTGCGGTGGTGACGGGTTGATGGGAGACGGGGACCAGCGTGCGGGCGAGGCGTGCGCCGCCCGCTGCCGTCTGCCATGTAAACGGGCGTGACGACATAAACTGTGGCCTTGACGACGTGGCGGTGACGACAAGAGACAACAAAGCGGAGACAAGTGACAATCGCGACTGTGACAATGTCGCTGTGGGACACGCACACACACAGTGAGTGAAGTCACACAGACGTGACAAATATACCAGACAGAAACCGACGATCGAAATTCCAATCGATAGCGTTTCGGCAAAAGTCGTCTTGCCACGAGTGATAATCAATTTGTAAATGTGAAGAGCGAATCGATTCACTTTTCATCCACTCGACGTAGTTTCTTGTTTTAGCGAAATTTTCCGGTCCGTTCTGTTCTCTGCTGCATGCCACGGACTTAGTTCTCACGTATTTAGTGTTATACCTAGTGTCTAGTGTGCATGATTGCGGGATTTCAACAGCGACGCATGTAGCATACCGCAGTAAGTTACCAGGGGAGACACTACCAGTGGAAGGATATTGCTCAAGTGGAGCTACTGTGACTTGGAAGGGGCTGCTGGGGAGGGGCTAAGATAGGAGGACCAAAGGACCAAAAGTACAGTGTATTTAAAATTTATCCCCGTTGCGCGAGCGCGCGTGCGATTTTTTTTAAAGGCTTGTGTTTTAATTAACGTTGTGTTTTTTAACGCGTTCGACGGCTAGTGCGGTATATAGATGGCGCTGCGTGCGCGGACATACGGTTGTGAGCATTTAATGTGGCGCGTGTGTCTCTCCCTCTGTAGGGTCCCTATATATAAACCCTATTTATATATAGGGACCCTATCTCCCTGTAATGTAGGTTCGCTATAGTTGGCGACCCGTGCGATTTTACTGACGGGAGGCATTTTAAATGCGTCTCCACATTTTACCTCTTATAGGAGAGTGATAGTGAGAATGACAGAAGGGCAGAGAGAGAGAGAGAGAGATATAGAGAGAGCGAGAGAGAGAGAGAGAGAATGGGGTATAGGGAGGGGGAGAGGGGGTGCGTGCGTGCGTGCGTGCAGGTGTGTATATGTTGTATTAAAAATCATCCTCGAAGAGAAATAAGTCGACGGTTGTGTGTGCACGTACGCGTACGTGTCCGTGCGTGCGTGCGTGTATACGCCTGTGTGTGTGCGTGCGTGGGTACGTGTATCACGGTGTATGTGTCAGCTACGGAAGGTTCAGCGTTGCTTCCAACCGTAAAATCAGATTGTACAGATCGTGTAAATAAGCGGCGGACGGCGTCTGTGCCTCGCGTCGCCATGGAAACCGAAAGCACGTGCAGCGTGGTTGTGTGTGTATGTGTGATTTACCTGCCATCAGACCGCATGTCTGAGCGTGACAAATGTTCAGCTTGCGTATTTTTTATGATGGATCGGGGTGACTTCATGCGTGATGAGACGGCGACGTGGCAACGACGCTGCCGACTGCAGTGGCATTTATTTACTAAAAGAAATTACCGTTCGCCGTACGTGTGAAAGAAAACGTGGCGACAATTTGAGTCGAATTCGTGTTGCGAAGCTACAATTTCGTTGTTGTTGTTGTGTTTTTTTTCGGCGCCAATTTTCGCGGAACAGATCTTGCAACGGCGGCATGCGTTGCCATGGCGAGCGTTGCCATGGTGCGCGTTACGAGACGCATTTAGTTACGTTTGACGTTCGCCACGATCATTTCACGGCTGCATGCATGCTGAAATCAGGTGTCGAGTACGTGTGGCCTGAACGTTACCTGCAGCTACGCGCAGCTACTAGTTAATTGCTACCGACTGACTGTGTTCGCGTTTGTGTTTGTTCTCTGTGAGATGTGTGAGGGAACCCGAATGATTCAGGGTAGCTATAGCTATATATAGTTCTCTTCAACGTGATTATTTATTTTGTAAATAATGAATTGCCGATGTTGATTGCGAGTGTAGAGAGGGGGGAGAGAAGAGATAGGGAGGCTTTGAGCTTTAATTCTCTCTCTTTCTCTCTTTCTCGTGTTTACTGTTTATGATGGATTCTGATGAGAGATCGGTTATGTAACAGACTACTTAAACGTATATAGCCTATTCTCGCAGTTTCTCTTGTGACGTTTTTATAGTCAATAAAATTTCTACTTGATATTAACGATAATCAACGACGTTTTATTGTTGAATTCTGAATCACACACATATGACACATATTCGTTGAGTTGCGTACGTGTGCATATTATACCATGCATGCATCTGTTTACAGCCACAAATCGGCAAATTTTACACAGTGTTGCGTGGAACTTGGGTAACGTGATACACTTCATATTTATATGCTCTGATATAATTTCACTCGGCGTAGCAGGGAATCTCGATTCACACCTACTCATTATTGAAGAAAGGCGCACTGTTCAAGATTTTTCATTTAAAACTATTCACGATTATGTCTTCTCTACTTTAAATGTTCAATTTCAACAAAACGGGATATCGTATATCAGATATTAGGCATGCGCACAAATGCAGAGAGTAAGCGCTTTCTACATGCGTATAATTTCCACAAAATTATATATGTAGGGGCGCATATATTTCGTTTGATGTTACTTCTTCTAATGCGCGACATTAGTGCCGACAAACGGCAACGAAAATTGTGCATAATTTTATGAAGCATTGCGTGGAATCTAGATGTTCACGCGATTGCGCTGGAGGCAATAATATGATGACATAATGAGGCCAATAATATAATGACATCGGACTGTTTCTATGAATAACCACCCTGGACTCGCTGACAACGTTGAACATATAATTTCAACAAAACGTTATTTATTATAGCAGATACTTATGTCAGATTGCATATACTATAGTTAGCATTTATTTTAGGGTTATTCATGTGCATAAAACTTTTATGTTATTATGATATATATTTATATCATATTTATAATGTCTATATTATGACACTAATCTTGGTCTGTGGCCCTCTATTATCTATACATCAATCAGCTACGTACATAAATTACCACTGATAATTACCACTAACATAACTATATATCTATATACCTGCAATATATATATATATATGATTATATATTATTGCAGGTAATATATTTGTATATACATACATATACCAAGAGCTATTTATAGGGTATTGTTAGCTCTTGATTGATTGTTAGCATACAGAAATCAACAGCAATACAGAATCCGTATATATGGGTTAGTATAGAATACTTTAATATGGCCAGCAGTGCCTATTACAGTTGCCATAGTGCGTTACTTCGCTCTGGAATGGTTTCGTCCATCGCAAAGCATGCTGGGCCAGATAGTTTGCTCCAAGTACAAAACAAAAAGTAAACTTGAGTGTTCTTGCAAAGCTATACAAGCGGTTCATTAGTAAGGGAACTGGTATTACTATTATTGGTAATGATTCTTATTTTTTTAGGCAAATCTAAAATCTGAGTTTAATATACAGATAACTGTGATATATTAATAAATCGGTGTAGGATGAAAGAGACAAACGCCACAGAATGTCGATCGTAGGAGTAACTGAAGGTTAACAGGTGGGGCCATTCGGTTCAGAGGATAGAGAAACATCACATGGGACCAATAAAACCCAATGTTTTCATCATATAAATATATTTTATATCAGTCTAATAGGTTAGGGTCCACCTATGGTAGGGTAGGTTTGGGGTTATGGGTTAGAAATTTAAACGACCAGCGCTCTCGATAGTTGACCGCGCGGAGGAGCTGACACCCTTCCATACGAATACTGGGTATGCTTGAAAACAAAACTCCTATTGTAAATTTTTGTAAATTATAACATGTTACACATTTTGACCTCACTGTTAGTCATGTACAACTATTCGCTCGATTTCTTATTACTATTTACCTTGAAATTAACACGTTATAAGGTAATTCGAACAGCGCTATAATATTTGACGTTGTAAACGCCATTACTGGATGTTCTTATGCTATGCGCGCAATATAAGCGAGATTGGCCACGAACTTTCGCTACGTATTATGGAGATAGTCTTATTTGAAAATGGCGAAATGGCGGCGTTTGTTCGGAGCGGTTTCATCTTAGATCAATTCTAATAAGTTGGTTGCTGACAACGTAAATACACACTCCAGTAGATTTTAGGCATAATCTGTAATAATCGACGGCTGGTGGAGTACAGAAGAAGCAATAGAATCATAAAAGTGAGATATTTAACTGTTAATAGCGGACATGCTATCCGACATATTTCTAATGCGGTCGGTTTGTGACCCTCTCGCCACGTAGCTGTTTTAAGCGAGATGGGAACTTGTGGTAGGTTTAGAATTAGAGTTGAGGGTTAGGGTTGGCACATTGGGTTTTATTGAGGACCCATGTTCTTCTATCCTTGGGCCCGTACTTTCTGACTTTTATATAGGCTAGTATACTAGTGATACTACTGCTATTTATATGCTGAGAGGGTCTATGTCCCCGGGGTACTGCCGGAACGTAGCCCTGGGTCCTGTACCGGTTATACCGCGAACGTACTGGCTACTATCTAATATGCCGGGACCGTACCGCGCCTACTTCACTAACGAGTCTTAGGGGGTCACGATGTAGTAGTAGTAGTACGTTCCGGTTCAAGGTTAGATGGATGATGTGCAGTAGGTGATTGGATAGGATGATTGTTTAGTTGATAAGATGGGACTGGACATCTTCTCTATGCCGAGCCTCCTGACCCTACGTCTACCTTACACGTAACTAATCCTAATGCCTACCGTACTAGTCAAAATAGTGACAGGTACGTTCCGGTTATACCGCGGACCGCTAACCAGGGTATCGTTCCGGCAGATACCCCGGGGGACATAGGACCTATGTGCGAGTATTTCTTATACAACTGTCCCAGTAGTAGCGTTCGGCAGTACCAGGAGCGGCGAAAAAAATATCACGGAGCGGCGAGAGATTTTCGCTCCCGTCGCTTTCCAAAGCGCTCTGCGTACAACAATTACGAGGCGAGTAATTTTGGAAGCTACGAGAAATATCGCTCCGGGTGCCGCGCAGCGTTAAGACCATTCGGTCGACGTTAGACAAGCTTAGGCGTTCCAAAACATCTAGGCCTGATAAACCCCTCACGATGATTCGCCACACGAACAAAAAACTCGCGACGTCTAGACAAATCAATGTGTTTTTGATAATCGCGTACAATAGAGTTTATCTATATGCAGAGGTTTTGTGGGAGTTAGGGCACGACCAGTGACATGACACGCACGTGATCAAACTGTTTTCTGAATTGGTCACGCTAGGAAATGTTGCGATGTTTTTATTCAGGTAGTTTTAGAAGAATGATAACTTGATTATACTTGAGATCTAGGGGCCGCTTGTGACTTTGTGGATGTGCGGCCAGCATTGATAGATTATGCGATGGGGTTACGTCGTGGATGGGGAAGAGAAACGAGAGTAAACTTTACCAGAAGCTCCCGCATTCCTAGAGATTTGAACATTATTTGGACCACTCTAATGAAGTTACTGTCAAGGATTAATGAGACATCTACCTTTGTCAATGTTGCTTAATTTGTAAGATTTGTTATGGGTATGCTGTTTTATTGTCAATGGTTATCTTTTATCTTTTTGTTTACTCATGCTATGTAACTAAGCCTGACGCACCAAATTTTTTGTGCAGGTTCACCAACTTTCTGAAGTTGGTGGTCTGCTTGTCCACTAGATTTTCAGCCGAAATTGCGAACCTATGGGGTGCCGGTCCCGCTCTTTGGGTTCGACAAACCGTTGCCCGATGGCCCGGCTGGAACCACAATTCTTCCACTGGGCAGGTAGCTAGCTTGAAACTTGCACTTCCATGTTCGGGCAAGCAGTTGTTTTATTGAATGTAGACATAACGAGATTTGAATTAAAACAATGGCGAATGAGATCAATCAGTGCATGCAGTATACTTTGTAACATAATGCATCAGAACATGTAAACCGCCCTCCGTGGTTTTGTCCCATAGGAATAATTAGTGACTTCGTCGAATTTCGCCAAGCATTATCTTTGACTTTTGTTTGGGAAACACCTTTACGATAATTAGACACATTTCTGGTTCTGAGGACTTATTTAGAGGTCAGTGCATCAAATTATTGAATTTTAACAAAATCATGCTTATTGAAAAAGTAGTCTGGCAAGTCAATATGCTCCCAGTAAACAAGATTATACCGAGAGCTCTTTTTTTCTACAAATCAAAGAAGAGCTCTCGTGGTCGAATATAAAGTATTTTTTAGGCTGCCAGGGAGACATAGACCCTATCAGCACTAGTGGCTAGTAATACAGTGTGTGGTGACGTACGTGCCAGGTGTATGCTTGCCTAGCATGGTACAGCTGTACCATGCTACCCTAGGGTAGCCCGACCAGGCTCCACGACTGTTTGACGTCATCGTAGGACGTAGTCACGTCGTAGGACCTTCTCGCCATGTAGTGAGAAGCGAGAAGGGAACTTGTGGTACACCGGGCAAGCCGACACAGTCAACCAATGCTACGCTACGTTATGCTACGGTGTAACGTCGACGTGTGTTCCCAGTAACACATATCATTGGCGTCGTCATTTTCTCCTCATACTCGTAGTGCTAGTCCACAGATCAACCAGGCTCTACGATTGTTTCACGCCACGTAGTGAGAAGCGAGAGGGAAACTTCTGGGTACCTAGTCCAGATCCTGTGCTATCTGGGTAGAGACAGAGACTTGTTGTTATTCATGGTTCCTTTTGATACATGTTGTGAGTCATTGATAAATTTTTGAGGCGAGGCAATCCAGAGAAGCATTCCATTTAGAATTCATTGATCCTTTCGTCTCGCCACTAAAAAACGAGAAGATCTGATATTTAGGTTAGAACTTTTAGGCACTGTTGGTTTGGACCAGCACCCCGCCCACCAATGATATACATACGCGATAAGGGGGAGGGGTGCCTAGCCACAAGTGCTTGCTATTTCACTTTCTGAAACAGTTGTAGAGCCTGGTTAGACTAGGGAGCTGTCTAGGTCATTGTAACAGTCCTGCTGCAGCAGATGTTGCTATTTATATATTATATTGATTAAGTTTATCAATGCTTTACCAAACCACTTTAGCTTAACTGGTGCGCACACGAATCAATAGTTTTTTAACGGTTAGGCAGCTGGAAGTTTGAATGTATTTGCAGCATCTGTAAATGCCAG